GCTGCCGCAACCCGCCAGGCCTTTGTCGCGAGCGACGCCCGGAGCGAGAAGCCCCGGCCATGGCCACGTCCACTGGGGTGTCCTTCTTGGTGGGCGACGGGGTGCCCGAGGCTGAGAAGAACTCGGAGCCGGAGAACACCTATATTCTGCGGCCTGTTTTCCAGCAGAGGCGGGTAGAGGACGGGCTGTGGCGGGGCGACCTCGAGCGCGCTGGTCTGAGGGGCGGAGCTCGCCTGGGACCTGGGCCACGGAAGGAGCGCGGGGGACGCGCGGGGTCTGCGGGGCGGGGGGCGCGAGGCGGGAGGGCGGCCCCGCTCTGACGTCCGGACGGCCCTCCCGCCGCAGGGGACCCCACCCGCGGCCACAGTGTTGGGGCGCCGGGCGCGTCTTAGGGTGGCGCCGCGGGAATGGTTGGCCCTGGGAAACCCAGGATGGCGTCCCGAGTAAGGAGATGGGTGGAATAGGGGCAGGAGGCCATCGCGTGGGATGCCGTTCAGCCGTGATTCGAGGGTTACCGTGTGCGCACGGGTGCCAGGATGGGCTCCCTCCCGGCGCGGGAGCTGCATGTGTGCAAAGTCCTACCAGGCGGGATCCGGAGGCCCTTAGACCACCGCACCGAGACCTTCCCGGGGTTAAGGCTCACGGGCCAGAGCAGAGGGCACTCAGCTGGGTCTGTAACGTCACTCACTTTACACACTCACGCACACAGATTTAAAAACACGTCCCAGTCTCCTCTGTTGTTTGAAACCGGATTGCTGAATCTGATGCTTGGCAAATATGGAAACCAGGAGTTTTGATTATAATGTGATACAAATTTCTTTATTTTTATTCTCTTGGTAACTCACAGAAAAAGTGATACAAATTTCATACAGAAATTTTCCCTTGGGTAGAATGAACACAGAAAAAGATATGCTTAGTTATCTTGGGAAAAGGTTCTGAATACTAAGAATGCCATTCTGCCGTATTTTTTATTTTATTTATTTTATTTTATTTTGTGAAAGTGTGCAGAACAAGATTGACAACAAATATATATTTTGTTTTGAGGGAGAGGGGAGTATGAGAAGCTCATTACTGGATGTACTGAGTTGCCTAATAAACTTCCAGATGGAGCATCAGTTGGAATGTGTTGAAGTTCAGTGCAGGTCCAGGTTGAAGATACACATGTGGCCTATGATTTGTCTTAATTTGTTTATATTTTATAATAAAAAATATCAAAAAGGATTAAGTGGTACTAATGACAGATGGGAGAAGTTGAGGTGTGAAGGTAAGCTGGGGTTTTGGAGTCACCAACTAGATGTTCACAGATTTTTCCATTCAGGTTCAGGCCCTCTGTGGTGAAAGACTGTATCCATGCTGTGCTCAAGGAGGAACTGGCAAATGCTCAATATTCTCCAGAAGAAATGCCTCAGCTCACAAAACATTTATCAGAAAACATTAAAGATAAATTAAAAGGTAATCATGCTGATAACTGGAAATGACTCATTCTCTTCAAAGACTCAGTGTTACCCATTTGCCCCCTTGTCCATCTTTAAACAAAGGACATTGGGGCCAGGTATGGTGGCTGGCGCCTGTAAACCCAACGCTTTAGCATGCCAAGGCAGGAAGATTGTGTGAGTTCTGGAGTTCAACACCAGCCTGGGCAACATGGTGAGACCTCATATCATTTGTTTGTTTGTTTTTTTGAGACGGAGTTTCACTCTTGTTGCCCAGGCTGAAGTGTAATGGTGCGTTCTCAGCTCACTGCAACCTCTGCCTCCCGGTTTCAAGCGATTCTCCTGCCTCAGCCTCCCGAGTAGCCGGGATTACAGGCGTATGCCACCACGCCTGACTAATTTTGTATATTTAGGAGAGACAGGGTTTTTCCATGTTGGCCAGGCTGGTCTCGAACTCCTGACCTCAGGTGATCCACCCGCCTCGGCCTCCCAAAGTGCTGGGATTACAGACGTGAGCCACTACGCCTGGCCGACCTCATGTCTATTAAAAAGCAAAATAAAGGCCGTGCACGGTGGCTCACACCTGTAATCCCAGCACTTTGGGAGGCTGAGGTGGGTGGATCACGAGGTCAGGAGACCGAGACCATTCTGGGTTAACACAGTGAAACCCCATCTCTACTAAAAGTACAAAAAATAGCTGGGTGTGGTGGCGGGCGCCTGTAGTCCCAGCTACTTGGGAGGCTGAGGCAGGAGAATCACCTGAACGTGGGAGGTGGAGGTTGCAGTGAGCTGAGATCGTGCCACTGCACTCCAGCCTGGGTGACAGAGCGAGACTCTGTCTCAAAAAAAAAAAAAAAAAAAAAAGCAAAATTAAAAAAATTAAACATCTCTATTAAAAATAAAAACTTAAATAGAATGTTAGCTGTGGATTCTATCAAATACAACTTCTTCCGTGTCTTCTCTAATTATTTGGTGACTTTTACTCATGTAAGTTTTTACAGATGGTGAGAAAGAGTGAAGATGTGGAATAAAACATTATAGGGAACCACTGTCCAAAAAATCTTAGTATTCAGAAAGGCCAGAAAGTACAGGGACGCCTTTCCCCTTATTTCTTGGTTGTTTCTTCCCCCAAGCTGTCAGTTCCTCAGCCTGGCATTTAGTACCCGCAGTCCATCTCTTCCCTCATCCTTAACTACTTCCCTTACTCAGCCCTCCACTACCCGCAGTCCATCCCTCCTCCCTCATCCTTAACTACTTCCCTTACTCAGCCCTCCACTACCCACAGTCCATCCCTCCTCCCTCATCCTTAACTACGTCCCTTACTCAGCCCTCCACTACCCACAGTCCATCCCTCCTCCCTCATCCTTAACTACTTCCCTTACTCAGCCCTCCACTACCCACAGTCCATCCCTCCTCCCTCATCCTTAACTACGTCCCTTACTCAGCCCTCCACTACCCACAGTCCATCCCTCCTCCCTCATCCTTAACTACGTCCCTTACTCAGCCCTCCACCCTACCAAACTACATCTGTAGAGCATATTTTGTGCTTTTCCTACCCTCTTCTCTTTGTCTCTCTGTCTGTTTTGTTTTGTTTTTGAAGTAGGGTCTTGCTCTTTTGCCCAGGGTGGAGTGCAGTGGCGTGAACATGGGTCACTGCAGCCTTGACCTCCTGGCTCAAGTGATCCTCCCCTCTCGGCCTCCCAAGTATCTGGGTCTACAGGCTTGTGCCACCATGCCTAGCTAATTTTTTAAGTTTTAAATTGTTTGTAGAGATGGTATCTTGCCTGTGCCCTGGCTGATCTTGAGCTCCTGGCCTCAAGTGATTCTCCCACCTCGGCCTCTCAACGTGCTGGGATGACAGGCGTGAGCCACTGCACCTGGTCTCTCTTGTTAATAATGTTATGCCATCTGAAAAGTTCTTTTTTTTTTTTAATCTTTTTGAGACAGAGTCTCACTCTGTTGCCCAGGCTGGAGTGCAGTGTTGTGATCTCAGCTCACTGCAGCCTCCTCCTCCTGGGCTCAAGTGATCCTCCTGCCTCAGCCTCCCAAGCAGCTGGAATTTCAAGCATGCGCCACCACACGTGGCTAATTTTGTATTTTTAGTAGAGACAAGGTTTCACCATGTTGGCCAGGCTGGTCTTGAACTCCTGACCCTCAAGAGTTCCGCATGCCTTGGCTTCCCAACGTGCTGGGATTACAGGTGTGAGCCACCGTGCCTGTCCTATTTCTATCTGCTCTTCTTGGAAGACACCATTTTTTGAAGGGAAGGAATATCTTCATAAAAGTAATACATGCTCATTGTAATAAACCTAGACCATACAAAAAAGTATCCATAAGGTTTTTTTTTGAGATGGGAGTTTTGCTCTTGTTGCCAGGCTGGAGTGCAGTGGCGTGATCTCAGCTCAGTGCAAACTCCATCTCCCAGGTTCAAGTGATTCTCCTGACTCAGCGTCCCGAGTAGCTGGTATTACAGGCATGTGTCACCACGCCCGGCTAATTTTTGTATTTTTAGTAGAGACGGGGTTTCTCCTTGTTGGTCAGGCTGATCTCGAACTCCCGACCTCAGGTGATCCATCCACCTCGGCCTCCCAAAGTGCTGGGATTACAGACATGAGCCACTGCGCCTGGGCCCTTAAAGTTTTAAAATATTAACCAAAGGCAGTTACTATTTAATATTTGTGTTTACTGTTTTTTCTGAATTTAAGTTTTAGAAATTAAAAAATACAGAAAAGTACAAAGAAGAAAATAGCAATCCTGTGTATTTCCATCACCCAGAATTAACTGCTGTTAGTATATTAGCATTTTTGTTTTTAGACTTTTGAATGAAGGTTCATTGTTAAGATTTTTTGTAAAAAATGGTACACATTCATTATACAAAATTTAAACACTAGAAAAATAAAATGAGAAAAATCACCTGAATGCCACCACCAATAAACAATCATTAATATTGGTCGGGCACAGTGGCTCATGCCTATAATTCCAGTACTTTTGGAGGCCGAGGCGGGCAGATCTCTTGAGCCCAGAAGTTTAAGACTGTCCTGGCCAACATGGCAAAATCCTGTCTCTTACAAAAATTAGCCAG